GTTTCATATCTCAATTCCAAGTCTGTACATTTCTTCATTGAATCGAATAGATCTTTTTCCATTACTTCGTTAGCCTTCTGCAGAGAACTGCTTTTTCCTTCTACAGTCGCAAGCTGACTTAATAAATCCTGGACAGTGTTTTCAAGAGAGCTATTTTCCTCAGAAAGTACTTGGACCATTTCCTGTTTGGTCTTGAGATCTTTTATSTTTGATCCGTTTTGAATTTCCAACTCAGTGGCCTTGCGCTTCCAGTTTTCCACCTCCAARCCGCCGTCGGTCATTTTGGTGGTAATTTCGTTTARCTGGCTCTCCATGGCTTTGTTGTCATTTTCCAGYTTATTGGCCAATGATTCAAGCTTGAACACCTTGCTTTTGTCATCAGTCGATTGTAATCGCAATGCCTCAAGTTCRCCAACTTCATCCTCGCGATTCTTTCTAACATAATCCAATTCAATCAGTTTGGATTCTAGTTCTTTCTCAATATCAGCGTTCCTTTCCTGGAGTAGCTGCAAAGAAGATTCCAGTTCTGCAACTCTTGATTCAGAAAKTAGCTGCTGTTGTTGAAGGTTCACCTCGCTTGACTGCGATTCTCGAAGTTTTTCCTCAGCATTAAGCATGCGATTATTCAGCGATTTCACTTGGTCTTCGTAATTTTGAACAGACTGTTCACATATTCCCAGAGAGCTTTCAAGTGACCGTATCTTGCTCAAAGCCTCGCTTAGGGCGCCTTCGATTTCTGCATTCTTTTCTCTGAGGGCTTCAAGTTCCCTTTCCTTTGGTTTCAAACTTWCTTTTAGTTTTACCATTTCRTCGTCTGATATCTTCTTGGATTCTTGTAATTGATTTATGGTTAAATCACGATCWCTGACTTGATCTTTTAGCTCCTCGCATTTTTCCTCAAATTYGACTACGTTTCTTCGCAATGCCAACACCTCAKCTTTCAGCTCTTCCAAAGCTGATTTGTACTCTTCAAGCGTTTGACTTGTTCTTTGTTTATCTAACTCACTGTCAGTAAGTTGATCTTTGAGTGTCTGAATGTCAAGCTCATTAGACCTTTGTTCATCGAGAAGMCGTTTCTTTGTAGCTGATTCTTTCTCCAGTTTATTCTCCAGGTCTGAAATTCTTTTGTTCAGTGTAAGCTTCTCACGTTGAGACAGGCCTTGCTCTTGCACCAGTCTCTCGCACTCATCTTTGCTGGATGTCAGCATTTCTTTAACAGATTCTAGCTGGCCATCCAAGAAAAGCTTTCGAGATTTTAAGTGTTTTAGCTGCTCTTCYTTATCTTCAAGTTCCTTGTTAGTTACTTCAAGATGGACTCGAAGATCCAATATCCTYTGTTCGAGTTTAGTGGCTTCTTCTTTTGAGCTGTCCGATTGCAGCCTCTCTTCTTTAAGCTCTGCCTCGAAAATGTTTTTCTGAGCAACCTCATAATCCAGCTGCATTTCTAGATCTTGTATTGTATTGCTTGTTCGAAGAACCTCTTGCTTGAGGGATTTCCTCTCATCTTCACATTTCTCATACCGTTCCTCTAAATCTGYAATCTTTCTTTCGAAGATWTTCACGTCCCTCTTGAACTGAGTTCGCTGTTGTGTGAATGACTTATTCTCRTAGTYCAACTCTTTTAGTCTTAAAGTGCAACTTTGAAGCTCCTCCTTTAACGACTTCTCAGATTCATGACATTTCTTGTATGTTTGCTCTAAGTCATTGCATTTTGTCTCCTTGTCCCTTAATTGTGAATTGAGTGTGTTTCTCTCTTTTTCTAGTTGTGTTATACTTTGTTCCATCTTGGATATGAATAATTTAGAATCGGCTATTTCCACCAAAAGTTCTTCATTCTTCTTTTCAGTATAATRGAAGCTTTCTTTTGTTTCTTTGATTTCAATTTTTAGGGTTGTAAGTTCAGCTTCAAACCTTATGTTRCTCTCTCGTAGAGTTCCAATGATTTGTTCTCGTTTTTCGATATCCTTAGTAAGTTTTTGAGCGCTATTCTTGTATTCTTCGAGAAGCTTTTCAGTCCTGCCTTTATCCTCTTTCTCTTTGACATATTTTGCGACTGTGTCATCTAGTTCAGTCTTTAGTTGATTACGATCTTTYTGAAGAGTCCGCATCTCATTGGCTGTTTCTTTTTGATTCTTTTCCCGGAAGGACGATTCCTCTTCCAATTTGGCATTGCTTGCTGATAAATCGTCTAACCTCTGTTTCATGTCTTCAACAGTAGTCTGATACTCGAATATCTTATTGTCCTGCTCTAGCTTTTCTTTCTTTAGATGCTCACAAGATAGTTGAAGCATCATATCTTCTTTCTTCAATGCTTCTAACTCCTTTTCCATTTCTACGATCTTTTCGTATAGCTCTTCTATCAGTTTCGATTTCTTTGCTATTGTTCTTTTGAGTGTCTCTGCAATTCCTTGTTGCTCAAGAAGCTGACATCCRGTGGTTCGGTTCTCTTCTTTGAGTTGAATRATTTTGTCTTTTGAAGCATCCAGTTGGTCTTTTATTTCTCTTTTTTGTTTTGTTAGAGTTGCGATTGTGGATTCGAGTTTCGACACTTGATTTTTAGTATTGATAATATCTTCTTCSAAAGCTTGTTTCTGTTGAAGAAGATTYTCATTTTGGTCTGCAAGAGATTCTGCTCTATTTCCCAGGTCAAATATMTGTTGCTCTTGCGATGAATGGTCGTTGCTTTTTATATCATGCTCAAGGGCTAGGTTGACATTGCGTTCTTCAGCTTCCCTTARACTGCTTCTCACCTCTTCAAGCTCGTCTGTCAATGCTTTGTAATCAACCTCTAARCTTTCAGCTTTTCTCCTTGATGCTGTCAACTCTGTTTCCAACTTAGCTACGTTKTCTTTGCAGCACTGAAGCTCTTTTTCAGTATTTCCTAATTGACCTTCTGCCCTCTTAGCGTTTGCTTCTAGTGATACAAGTTTCTTGCGATTGAGCTGAAGGTCACCCTCCAATTGTTCTTTCTTTCTTTGGGCTGCGTCGCTCATGGGTTTCAGTTTGATCAATTCRTCAGTTGTATTTCTTAGCTTTTCTTGAAGACGCGTTTTGTCATTTTCAAGATCACAATGGCTTTGTTTCAAAGCATCGAGTTGTGTAGATAGATATTCATTCTCCGAGCTCAGCGATGCTATTTTAGTTTTGCATTCCTCTACAACTGTTTCTTGAACTYTACACGTTCCAGTAGCATCAGAACAGGATCTTTCATATTCTTCTGCTCTTGCCTTGAATATGCGAAGCTCCTCGGCGATTTTTCTGTTTGAAGTTTCATTTTCCTGGGCTTTGATCTCAAACATTTCTTTTTCTTTTTTCGTCTGTTCAAGAAGAAGCGTTAGTTTTGACTCTCTTTGTTCCAACAAGGACACTTGTCTTTGAGTGTCAAGTTTCTCCTGTTCACAGATCTGATAGCTTGCTTGAAGCTCACATATACGTTTAAAAAATGACTGAACTTCTTCATCAAGATGAATCTTTTCTTCTTGACTCTCTCGTAGAGCAGCCTCGAGTTGTTGAATTTTGTGCTGTGTCTGAATAAGCTCCTCTTGCAATTCMCGTTTGTCCATTTCTATCAGTTCATTGTGCGTTTGCTGTTCGTGGAGTGCATCATCTGTTTGACTTAAAGCACTCTCTAGGACTGCGCACTTRWTCTTAAGCTCAGATAATGTGCTTTCTTTAGATCCTGTGCTCTTTTTAGCACTGTCCAATAAGCGCTGATGTTCAGATAGATCCCTTTGCGCAGAGACTAACTCCTCCTTTGTCTTTGCAAGCTTCGCCCGTGAGTCATCAAGCTGCTCCTTGTATTGCAAYTTCTGTTTCTGTGCGKTGCTAAGCTGTTGTTCYARTTTAACAACGCGGCTTTTTGTAGAATCGAGTTCGTGCTCGAGATCATCATATTCTTCYTCGCTTTTTTTGAGAGAATACTTCAAGTCAGCGATTTTTCTTTCTGCATGTTGAAGTTGCTGCTTTAAGTCATCCTTTTCACGTTCACTGATATCGTAAGTCGATTCTAACTCCGTGACGCTCTGTTGAGCTACCTCTAGCTGATACTCTAAGTCTCCCAAATTTCCACTATCATGTTGGTATGTTGCTTCGTGCTCAGTAAGGTCGTTTTTGAGGGTGAAGACTTCGTCCTCTAGTTTTCTAATAGTCTTTTTGGCTTGATTCAAATGGTTTTCTAGGTCTCTTACTCGCTCTTGCGCTTTTCCATATGAAGCTTCAATGGTGTTGAACTTACTAGTGACTTCTTGAAGCTGTCTCTGCATGTCTTCTTTCTCTCTTTTRATTTGTTGGAACTCGTAATCATATTCTGCTAAGCGCTTCTCAGCTTCATTGAGGTCATTCTCCAGATCGCCTTTACGCTGAAGTGAGGCATTGTCTTTCATCTCCAGTGCTTCTAGTTTGTTTTTCAACAATTCAATCTTTCGCTCCAACGAATGTTTCTCRGAATCAACCTCTTCAAGCTCATGAGTCTTYGACATCAGATCCCTGCGGTAAAGGTCACAACGCTTCTGATGCTCAATAAACTCTTTCTGTAGCGTAGAGTACTCGTCTTTATTTCGCTTAAGTTCGTACTTAACGTCTTCCAGTTGATCTCTCAGAGAATCTCTTTGTTTCAAGACATTTTGTACTTGAGACTCAAGCTTAATAATTTTCATTTGACTGGAGTGCACGTCCTGATCATATTTCTTTTGATTTTGATTGTAATCCCCTTCTACTGAATCGAATCTCTCCCCAGCACTTTGTAACTCTTTCATCATATTCTCTTGTTCTTGCTGAAGCACCTTGTATGCAGTCTCCCACTCGTTTAACTTCTCTTGSGCAGACTTTAACTCCTGAAATACATCTGCTTTCTCTTCCTTATATGTTTCGACAACGGAGGACGTGGTCAACAACTCATCCCTTAAGAGTTCGATCTSTCTTAGGTTTTCTTTTTTCTCKGATTGTAGCTTCTCTATAGCCGATACACTAGAGCGTACGTCTTTATTCTGCAACTCMGAATCTCGTTGGTGTTCACTGACKTGTTCTCTTAATTTGCTAACTTCCTCAAGATTTTGTCTGAAATTTTCTCGCGTTTCATCAAGYTGTGTTTGAAGCTGGGACTTCTGTCTCTGAAGATTTTCTATTTGGCTTTCRAGCTTCAATATTTTCTGCCTGTCGTTTTGTCTCGTGGTTTCACTTTCGTTTTTCGTCGCCCGRTACAGACTCTCCAGCTGRAACAACTTGAGACGAGCGTCMGAAATCTCCTTAGATAGCTCCTCTTTTGCTTCTTCAGATGACACAAAAGCATTTTGTATTTGTGCCTTGTTCTCGTTGAACTGTCTTACYTCATTTTCCARTTTTAAAACGTATTCCTTATTTGCTGCAATTTCYCTTTGTAATTTTCTTTCTTGTTCCAATATTTTATTGTAGCTTTTCTCAGATTCTGAGAATTTAATTCCAAGTGATATAACCTCTTTTTGCAGTTGTAGGTTCTTCTGCCGCAAAGCGTTTCGGTCATTGTCATAATCAAATACTTTTTGTCTCAGCTCTTTCACATCAGCCCTAACTACTTCAAGCTCTCGATCTTTGTGCTGATCTCTTGGTGATAGATGGTGTCTTGAATTTTCTTGATCGAGCTCAGTCTTCAATGCAATACTTTCTTTTTTTAGGCTCTCGATATGATTGTTTTTTGCAGCAATTTCTTTATTCAATTGTGCAATTTGTCTATTCCTTTCGTCGAGYTCACGTTCAATGAGTTTGTWCCCTTTCTGACCACTTTGCAATTCYTTTAATTTTTTGCGCATGTCATCTTGGCTCTTGTTTCCTTYATCTACCTGTACCTCAAGCTGGTTTACTCTTGACTTTAGATAAACAACCTCGCTTGTTGGTGATATATTCTGCAGTATTGAACTATTTTGGCTGCCCTCCAAAGAAGCCAATTTTCGCTGTAATTCTAACATATCTTGCTGCAAGTTTTCTTTATCTTGCTGGATTTTCTCACACATTTCTTTCCATTGAGCGTTATTCTCTTTCATGATKACCAGCTCATGTTGTATTTTCTCTCGTTCGCTGCGCATGCGYGATATAATCTGCTCACTTTCGGAACCGCGGTGATTATTATTGTTTAGTTCGCTTACAACTTTTTGTTTTTCTTTTTGACAATTCTTTAGATCACTATTGATGGCTTCAAAGTCGTACTTCAACTTTTGGATTTCCTGCTCCAGGCGATGTTTCTCATTTCTAAGTTCATTTACAGCGATTTCTTTACACTGTACTTCAGAATGAAGAGAGTGACATTGATGTTGATAGTCATGTAAATGAGCTTYTGCCCTCCTACCGTCACCCGAAGCCTTGAACAATTTATTACCAAGTTCTTCAAGCCGTGCTGCCATTTCTTTCTTCTCAATGTCTGCTCGCTGAAGTTGTTGCTCAGTGTTGGCAAGCTGTTTTCTGACACTGTTRAGCTCACGCTGCATGTCGTTCTTGTCTTGTTTCATTCGATCGAATTTTGCTTCGTGTTCTGCTACTTTTTTGTGACATAATAATAACTCTTGCTGCATGTGTGTCTGYTGCTGTTGACTGCTGTCAAACGCACTCTTTAGGTGCGAATTCTTTACGTTTGCKGGAAGAACTTCGTTTTGTAGCTGCAGCTTTTCTCTTTCGCAACTTTCGTAAGCTTTCTCAAGTTTGACATATTTATCATTCGCAGCTGCAACTTCGCTTTCAAGCTCGATGATTTTATGGCGACAAGCGTCCTCGCTAGCCTTTAATCTTGGTAGAGATTGTTGATAAGACCTTAGCTCTCGCTCTATAGCGTTCTTTGTTTGATTGCAYTGCTCTAATGATGATGTCATTTCATTCATCTTTTTCTCGGCACTTGCAAGTTTGCGTGACATGTCAACTTTGCTCTTTTCAAACTCGTTCGTTGTGCAACTCACTTCCATTAGCTTAGTTTTCRTRTTTTCGGCTTCTTGCTCGTTGTAAGCTATTCTTTCTCTTAGTTGAGCAATCAGGATCTGCTTAGCATTTATTTCTCTTTCGTAAGCGTCCGATTTAAAAGATTGATCTCGAAGGGAAGCTTTGAGTTGGGACAACTCTTCCTTCTCCATTGCACTCACAGATCCAAAATGCTCAATTTTGGATCTCATTAACTCGCGTTGTCTCTTTTCATTTTCTAAGTCAGCTTSTAGTCTTGAGATCTGATTTCTTGAGGACTGCAACTCGTAATCAACACCGCTTTTCTCTTGCTTAAAACGCTCATTTTGGTCCCTAAGATAAATTAATTCMTGTTTGATAGAATGAACCTCGCTYTCAAGTGACGCCTTTGTGGTTTTYAGGTTTTGGATCAAAGTGTCCTTAGTGGCCATGTCTGTCTTATGAACTTCATGGTGCCGCTGGTGTTCTATRAGATGTCTTTGCAGGGTTTTAAACTCTTSAATGAGATGATCTTTCTCATTTTGAAGCTGAAATTTTTGYGATAAGACAGCTTTGCGAAGGCGTTCTTCAACTTCCGTCATTTTTTGTCCCAGCTCTTGAATKGTGGGATCTCCGGCTCTTTGTTGCACCGCGTCTCGTCCATCTCTAAAACCTCTGTAGTCTGATGCAACGCGATTTGAGTCAAGATTKTGAATGATYTCTTCATAATACGAGGCAGTCTGAATAAGCTCCTGGAGACTTTCCCGCTCTTTCCTGACAACTTCCCTTTTTAAATYAAGCTCTTCTCGAGATCGCTCGGAGCCCGATGAGATGCTGCTAGAAGAGCGATACTCCTGTACTGAACTTTSAAATAYTTGCAACTGATGCTCAATCCTTTCCTTGTCGGAGCTCATGTCGGAAAGCTCTGCTTCTACCGACTTGAGCTGACTTAAAGCCGTACGTTTCTCCTGAATGGACCTCTGAAGTGCATCCTGCAGGTTGTTGATTTCTTTATGCAGCTTACTAATTACCGCGTCCTTTTCATCTATGGTTTTGWGTGCGCATGCGTGATTGCGGTTTAATTGGTTAACAGATTCTCGTAAGGTCGCTAACTCGTKTCTTTGCTCATTTATGGTTAAATCGTTTCCGTTCAACTCGCTTTGCAAATCGAGTATCTCTTGTTCGAGTCTAAATGGATCGCCGTTTATTTCTTCATGAAATCCATTATGATTGCTTAGTGCCTGAATATCGTTTTTACGTGYYGTCGGCTCTCTGCTTGGCATCGCTGTCTTAAGCTCCATGTTTGGATTTTTACAGATATCCTTGCCAAGTGTTTCACACTTCGTGTCATTTAAGCTTTAGTTCCATTCTTGAATGCACTGATTTTTCTGTTTTTCTCTCAACCTGAAATAAAGAAATATTCATATATTCATACAGCGGAAGAAATTATGTTAGATTTGTGCGTGCGGTTTTGCCACCGGGTCTAAGTACTTAAATTCCTTCAGTTAAGTTATAAGTAGTTAGTAAACAACTTTAACCATGATGCTACCAAGAGCRTTYTTTGTATTTTTGGTGGTTGAGATCGATATAGTGTTCAGCATGTAASTGGTACCGAGAAAGTTCTACTGCTGTTTAAGGTGAACAATACCTGATTTATACATTGAAAATAGTTGCCTTTGAATTATTTTATTAACGATTATAAAAGACGCTTCGGTAGGTACATCAAACAACGAAAGTTAAATAACATCTTGTCGCAGAGGAACTAAATGTGTTTACTAAACTGCAACGGTCTGTATTAAARTGTAACGTAAAATAACTGAATATTTTGATAAAAAATATGCGTTTATTACATACGAAAATAAAAAAAAGTTTACAGTTTCAAATGTAGATATACATGCATAGACTTTTTTACATCTATTTTTATTGATATTTCGTATCCTATGTATCAATTGGTATAGAAAGGATTAAAGTTATTATCTATACGACTTATGATTTAAAGTATGAAATATAAAGCAAAATGACTTATTTCTTTTGTTTATGTTCTTTTCTCCCATTCGCTTCATTACAGTCATTTTCATTTTCTTACTTTACTCTGACTTTTCCTCATTTGTCTTGACTAGCAAAATAAAACGTACTAATGCGATTCTTATAACCACCTAGAGATACCAAAGGCAAAAGTATGTAATGGATCATAAAAATCAGTCATATCTATCGAAATAAGATGTTTTGTGAAAATCTTTCGCGTCCCATGCAATTCAATACCGCGGAATGTGAACCATCTCAATAAGTGCATGCATTAATTTTCACTGCAGTTTTTATTATAKAATTATTTATTTTTGGTATATATTTTATATAATTTTGTTTTCCGCTGTGTTTCTGCAGTAGGCAAAGCTGGATTTTATGCYCATCTTCGCCAGAAACTAATATTTTTGCTATGAAAATATGTTGGAGTAATTAATGAATAATATATATAATTCGTGGTTAAATTTGGTCGGYTTGTCACTGGGAGAGCTAAGTTCAACAGGTAGAACTAATAGAACGTCACAATAAAACGAAAATTGAAATATTATTTAAAAAAAATAAAATTTTTAGATATTATTTTTAAATTATTTTACTGTCGGAAAATATTGTATTTGAAAAAATACTGGAAATGCTAAACTGACTCGACCAAGCATCAAAAGTACACTTATGTTGGAATGTTTTCACTCAGTTGATAAACATTATAATTGTCTCATATTTTATGAATTTTACAGATGATATTAGATAATATTAAAGTTATCTAAAAATAGAAGAGTATTAAAGGGAGGTCAATAATTCAAAAGAAAATTTTTTCCGGTTTAAAGTGGGATTAAAATTCTAGTTATTATTATCATTATTATTATTCTTGCTATTGTAGTTCAAATGTAAATTCTATAAATTCACAGGAAGAGATTATTAATTAAGGCACCCCTGACACTAACTAARGCATATTATTAAAAAATGATGAAAAATGTGTATAACTTAAGTTTTTCTTAATGCACGCAGTTTAAAACTAAGAGATACCGATACCTCATTGTCTACTGTTGTATTAGGGTGAGATACCTAATATTTATTTAAGTTTTTTTTGTCACTTATCGTTAAGTAAAAASCGCTTTTGGTTTTAGAGCCAAGTTTYTCTAAGTAGKCGCGTAAATGACAGAATTATTAAATATTTCGCAACTAAGGTGACAACTGAGTCTCAGTGCCGAACCGTCTTACCTTCAAAAACTTTATTTGGGGCAGAAAATTGATCGATTAAATCGTAAATACTCCATAATTCCACAAATTTGCGATAGAAGGGGTCATCTAAGTGCTTTTTYTAATAAAGATCGATATGAATTGGCCTCTATTCATCACTAAGTACTCTTAAAGAGAGCCAATCACGAAATACTGTATGAAAAACACTATGCATATCTCACAATTGTGGTTGAATGTTTTGAAGGGTCCCTCCTGTTAACGTTTCTTTTCTTCATCGAAAAAATAAAACACTAATAAAGAAACGATTTCATATCATTCAAAAAACTCAAAAAATACTAAATAAGGGTAGGGGTAGAACTGAGGAATATTAATGAGTCGCCTTAGAAAGGATACACCTGGCACGGTATTATGATTGACTAGGAAGAGTGCACGGACAGCTCTGCCATAGATAGGTGAAAGTTGATGGATAAAATACTAGACCAGGGGTCTAATTTTCGTGTATTGATCAAAGTTTAATGTTACTGGTCAATAAAGAGCAAAGTGCTTTGCATGCTGTCTATAAATACCTAAAATTTTCTTATATCAAAATTCATGAATTGACGGAATTAGATACAAGTTCTTTTGCAGAAGAAAAGCAGAAATTGCACGACGCACACACAAAAGAAAASCTCAAATTTATAAAAGGCATCTTAATTAGAGTATACATAAGAGTCGGTTACGCGAGATGAAACATTATGTATATACATGTAGTTTTTGTTGTTGTTTTTTTTTTGCGCTGGTAAAATATATGAAAAAAAAGCGTACAAGCACTGAAGAAAAGCAAAAAAAAAAAAAAAACGACTAAAGCAACAACAAGAAAAATACAAAGAAAAGATGGCAAAATAAAAATGCGCAAATACAAAAGAAAACAAAAGAAAACAAAAAAAACCCAGCAAACTCACAAAAATACTTTCAAACATTTTTCCATTTTTGAGGAAAATAGGATGGAATAAAATTATATTTTCAGAAGTTAAGAATTATTCTTATTTTTCTATAATGAGGTAKTTGGGCAGATGCTCTGTCTTTCCAATGGTAAATGATTTAAATGATTAAAAAAGCTGATCTTTTGTTYCTTTTCTCGTGAATTTCCTTTCCGCGTCTCAAAAACTTAAATTATTTTAGCAGGTGATGTGAGTCAAATTGGTTGTCTTTGAAACCAAAACAAAGAGAGTGTTTGGTTACCCCCGGCCAGTTATTAACCGGGTTTTTTCAGCTTTTCTTAATAAATGTAATTTTGAATTTATCTCGCGTTGCTTGAAGGAAGACGACACATTGTCAARAACAGTCAAATTTGAAACCTAAGTGTTTTGTAAGTCAAAATAAACAATCGTGATGATGTAGTTCTGGAAAGGAGATCTCAAAATTAAACGAAAATTTATTCAGGCTTTAGACTGGAGACACCGTCAGCACGTGCAAGCAAAACTAGTGATATTTTTCGCAGAAACTAGAATTCAGAAAGCATTTTCTTAATTTATCTATTGAAAAACATTTTAGCAACTAATTTGAATGCATTTTCTAGTTTTTAACTAATTCATAGACATTTACTAATACATAAAAGATGTTCAGCGTATTGCAAACTGTGATGTTTTATAATATAAATGATTTATATAACATATTTTTTATGTAAAGATTCCCTTTCTTAAGTCTTTGACATTTTTGCTTTCACTGGAATTGACTTGAGAGAGATTATCCCAGTAACCAAACAGAAAATTCAATGATGGTAAAACCGCTAAAAAAAACTACCCGGTCACAAAACGAGCAGCTAACCGCACAATATACGATCACAGTCGATAAWATTTCATGTTACGAGCATTATATTTTCAAGAAATAGTACAAAAATCAAAGTTACARCAGCATTTACCTAAAAATATTATTCAAAAGGTGAAAATTTTGATTACCTTCATTGTCTCTATCTCTGCCATTGCTTGAAAACGAACTTCACGGCGGAGAAACTCTACAGAAAGCACTGAGCCCTTTACACTGTTGACRCGAGCATCAATTAAAAGCATTTTCTAAATTATTTGATGTTCATTTGTAATTTAACTACGCGGTAAACGTAGTTTCATTCAAATTTACAGCGAGCACAAAATTCATAACATCTTGTCACGTGACGTGAGACTTGCCGTAACCATAACAACTAAAAGCACTTTGATTTATTTGAGTATTCGATAAATCTTGATTGTTACGATATCAAAAACGGGTTTTTAACACAACAACTAAAATTTAAAAGGAWGTAATGAAGGTAAAAGAATAAAAGGTAATTAAAGTCGACTAAATCTGAATCCACATCCAATATACTAAAAGTAACTGTATAGTGTGTTCTTTTATACAAACAAACACCTATTTACGCTCTTTAATTAGATTTTTGTCGCTTTTTTAAATGTCACTTTATTGATTGTCATAAAAGTGAAAATAGAATAAAAGATAGATATATAATTAGTGATTTATATCTTTTAGGAAAAAAATGCATTCTATATAAATCATGCCATGTCATTGAAGTCTTACAATTTCTTATCGTTTTCTGTCTAAGAAGAGCTGGATTTCCGGAGATCAGGAAGCAACAACGTTATAAAGCATGTAGCATTGTACGTTAGACGMCATATTAAAATCTCGAAATGCACTTTGGGAGTGWCTCCAWGGCGYCAAATAGTTTCTTTTAAAAAGACTTTCAACATCTATATKTAGAACGAAAATAGTATTGGAAAAATGCCGTAATGATAAAAAGTTAACAATAAAAACAATAAAAAGAGTTTTAAAAACAACATGCAATACAGCAACAAAAAAGAAGAAGAAACAAAAAAGAACTGATCAAAAAGGAAAGGAAAGAAAAATAAATAAATAAACTGAACTGAACGAAAGCAAGAACTAAAAATAGCTTAATAGCAAATTACCTCTATAGAATAACTACACCTATTAACGCAGTTAAGAATAAGCGAGAATCGCACATTATTTGGCAAACCCACATTTTGTCCACCATGTTTGAACGTGCTCGAGGTTATTGGATGAACCACCAAAACTTGTTTCATTCCGTCAAAGATTCTATCAAGCACCATTTAACATATGCTCCGTTATCTTATTTATAATGTCCGCTATTTAAGCGCATTTGGCCACCCAAGAAATACTGGGTAGCGCATGGCACTATGGGATAAATGATATAGAATAAAGGAAGGTTATAGTGCTTAGAAGGAAGTTATTCCGGGAGAAAGACCCTTGGAAATAAATACTGTATATTACAAATCCGAGGGTCGTGTTTTCGAGTCCCAGCGAGGTCGGGAATCAATTTTAAGGTTTAATCCAACAATTTTGAGTCGACTAAATAATGTTTGATGATGATGCTCGTTGTTCAAACATGCATTTTTCCGTTTTCGCCGTTTTTCCGGAGCTTTAGATATAACATTGTTCATACATACCTGCTGTATCTCGGCATGTGCGGCTAAGATCTGAACGGAATAGTCCTCGGAGTCTAAATCCTTACAATACCCCGCACCTCGTGCGTGATGGCCGTAAGGCATTTGGCGCCAGTCTTCAACTTTAAGAATATCATATTCATTGGGAGTGCTCGACATGTAAGGTAGAAATAAGAACCCCATAGCATGGATGTTTTTTTGCAAGGCGCTGGGCACCTCCCAAGGGGTAGCTGGGTAGCAATACTGCAGATGAGTCTCTCTGTATCTACTCAAATATTGATTTTCGACAAGGCAAAGAGACTCTGCCCTCAGGGTTGGCCCCACCTCCCTCCTGGTTGGCTCTAAGGAAATGCATAGAAGTTGGGACAAATTGAATGCAATTTCTTTGTTAACAAATCACTGGAACATCTGAAAAAAAGCGGAGAAGATCGAGATTGTTTTGACACAAAACTCAGAGTGTTTCACTAATTTTTTAATATTTAATAAGAGAGCATGTCCATAAAATTAAAAAAATCTGATATATGTCGGCCAGGACTAAAATCGATTTATTGCTCAAATTTTGTCCAAATATACCTTATTTA